GGGAAGGGGGGAGCCCGCGTGTGGGGTGTCGCACGGGGCGGTTTCTCGCCGCCTGAGGGGGTGCCGGAGCGTTTCGCGCCCTCCCGGGGGGTGGAGTGGGGATGGGGAGCCCTGGCGTTCGGCAACTTGCTCGGTGACTTTGTTCTCTCCTCAGCAACAAAAAGCAAATAACTTGGTGGGTTTTTTTTTTCAGTATCGACACGTGCAGCAGGAAATAATGAAGCTTTCTGTGGATGTTGCAGTGGCGTATTTGAGGAGGAAGTTACTTTTTACAGAAAACGGTAAGTTTTTATTTTTTTAATAGTTAATTTTTAAAAATGTAGAGGCAGAACCTGTGGATTTGAGGCTGAGCCTGAGACTTTGGTTAGGAGCACTAAATGCCAAAGAGTTCCTTGGGATTGGAGGCATGTGTAGCAGTCCACAATTTCACTCATTTAGAGGAGAATAACACAAGTTTTTCAAGCACTCATTTGTCCAACTGAAGCAGCTGGACAGTGAGAGTCTTAAAAATGTTTAAATTGGATCTCTGGGATCTTTTTTTTCTTTGAGCAAAGCTCCTTTTTCAGTCTAATAAAAGTTACTGTTTTCTTGTAGTTTCAAAGTATTATATTAAGCTTGCTTTAACTTTACACAGTCCTTCAAGTCCATATTCCTATTAAAGGAGGAATAAAATGTGCTTTCAAATTTTGGATATAGTGCTGTCCTGCTTCATTGAAACTTGGGTCTGTAATAAGTAGCTGTAACTTGGTTGTAGCAGTGTATTTTGCAGCCATCATTAGAAACTGCTTTTTGTTGCTGGATAGGCCAATCTAAATACAACAGTAGGAATTGTGTTTTGAGGCAGGGTGTCTGTGGCAGTAGCAGCAAATGTTCGAACTTGCCAGTAAAGCGAGTAATTGGAGAACTTGAGAGCACCTGGCATGTCATAAGATGCTTTCTGGACTTTAGAAAGCTGATGGTATGATCTGTTTGATATAATTTTTAAACTCCTGATTACCTAGAAGTGGGCATACACTTTGTTTACACTTCTTGTAATGCTTGTTGGCCTTATCCTTTCTTTTCTTATTATTGAGGAGAGGCGGTGGGAGTTCTTACCCTATTTCAGACTTATCTTTGAAAACTAAGAGTTATTTTTATCTCCGCAAGTTGTGATGGTGTTCCGAGAACGGTATGGGAGAAGCAGTTGACTCATTTTCACAATTGGGCTCTTCTGCTGTCAATCAGCATTGATTTTAATACTCCTAGTATCACGTATGAGAGTCCTGAATTGGGCTAATGCGCTGCTTCAGCTTACTATGAAGGAGGTCTTCAGCCCCGAAACAAAGTGTGAATATTTGTTCAAAAGCTTGGTTGTCAAAGGTGTGCAATTCAAAACCTGATCAAATACTCACTTTGTTCTTTTCTTTCAGCAGGTACAAGGTAGACAACATATCTTGAATTACTAAAAAACGCTGGTTGCGTCAGAGTAATGTCAAAGTGCTTACAGTGCAGGTAGTGATATATAGAACCTACTGCAGTGAAGGCACTTGTAGCATTATGTTGACAACTGCCTCAGGAGATCTTGCAGGACTTCAGAGATTGGAAAGGTACAGTGTGGTGGTGTCAAGTGCTTTTTGTACTAAGGTGCATCTAGTGCAGATAGTGAAGTAGATTAGCATCTACTGCCCTAAGTGCTCCTTCTGGCATAAGAAGTTATGTCTTCATCCAGTCACTCAGGTTAAGACTGTAGATGTTCCAGTAGTTTTCTGCTTTGCAGTCTTCTGTTAGTTTTGCATAGTTGCACTACAAGAAGAGTGTAGTTGTGCAAATCTATGCAAAACTGATGGTGGCCTGTTATAATCTACATCAAGGAGTTTGAATGCTTTCTGCTGGTTATGGGATATTTTGTGGCCTTCCTTATTTTAACAGCAGTCTAGTGAACGACAGCTCCTGTAGCACTAAAGTGCTTATAGTGCAGGTAGTGTTCACTAATCTACTGCATTATAAGCACTTAAAGTACTGCTAGCTGTAGAACTACATATTCAGCGTGTCTTTAAAATTTATTTTTTGTTTAATTGCACACTGTTCTCTGGTTAGTTTTGCAGGTTTGCATCCAGCTGTATGATACTCCGCTGTGCAAATCCATGCAAAACTGACTGTGGCAGTGACAAGTCAGTCAGTGAGTGTGGAAAAATTGTACCCCTTTCTACACAGGTTGGGATCAGTTGCAATGCTGTGTGTGTCTGTGGTATTGCACTTGTCCCGGCCTGTTGAGGTTGGTGGGGATAGAGGCTGAAACACCTTCATAGCTTTAAGGAATTTCTCCTTCACTGATCCAGCAAGCTTAAGATTTTTAAGTTTCTTCTTGAAAAAAATGTCATGTAACTTTCTGTGTAACCAGACTTTTCACTTTCTGTATCTGGCTTCTTACTTGCATGTACTGGATTTGTTGCTGATAATATGTATTTACTGAAATCCTTGAGTGTGGATTTTTTTTTAAGGCTATTATGAGCTTTCTATTAAACTGAGATGGATACTTGTTTACAGTTTCTTCATTAATTTGTTGGGAAGAAATGGATCTTAGGCATCAGAAAATCTGGATGAAAGTTCTAACTTGTTCAGTGTAAGCTTGCTTCTCAAATTCAAATTATATGAAGGATTCGGCAGCTTTCTTCTGAAATGCTTTTTATTTATGTTGAAACTCGAATTGGTAACAGAGCACATTTTTAGCCTTAGTTCTTCCATCCAGAATTTGTCAAATTCAACAGTAATAAATTAGGTTACAGGCAGGGCCTTAATCATTCTTCAGCTATGGAATCTTGAATACCAGTCAGGTGTCCACTCCTTGTGGAGTGTCTGCATTTGTGGTGAGCGGAACAGTGGTCAACTCATAACCTTTGGAGTGAATCACTTAGCATGTGATGCCTAGCAATGAAATAGAACATCTCTTGAGCTACCTGAAGAACTTACCTGCGGAAAAACTCATCTGTATAACTGCTTCAAAGAAGCTGAGGTTGGTTGCGGAAGACATGGTAACTGGAGTGTCAATGTAAAATCTGCAAGTGGAGAGCATTCAACACATCTTGTTTTTGAATGAGCTGTGTTAGTAAACTACACTTGTAGCTCAGACGTTAATGGCTTTACTTCCTAAAACAGACTTCCAGAGGACTAATGCTGTAAATTCAAAGTAATCAATTTGATGCTTATAGCCACCAGACTCTATATAGTATTCTAAAGTACCTTTGTGGTAGGAAAATTAGGAATATTTGGGTCAATGCTGCTCTTGCTCTTCTTACTTCAAATTAAAATGGAATGCTAAGCTAAATGGGTCGTTGTTCCTAAGAGTGCTGAACACTGTTTTCCGCAGTCAGTCAATGTACATTTCAATGCTGCCTTGGAATATTACTCTGTCCTCTAGCAAGACATTGAAAATTCTTAGATGGGTTTGGTATCTCTTAAGTTTCTTGCTGAAGTAGCCAAGCCAACTTAGGCTTTTACTACGTGCTACTCAATTTCTGCCCCTTTTTCTACTCCTCTTTCTTCAGAATGTATTGCTCAGATAGGTTTCTTATCCAAAATACTCTTCCCAAGCTTAAAATTTTCTTTTTAGTCTTGCTGATTAGAAGGAAGCTTGTGTCAGTGAAGTCAGCAGACGAAGATGTGTGTCTCGTCCCGATTTCTGTATGATAAGTTTCTGCAATAATCTGCTAGTGATAGCGGGTTTAACTCCTTTTTGAGTGTAAAAGCAATATTTTTAAAAGTTGAAATGCAATGCAGGAAGCATTTTAATATGCTATCATGTTTATACTGCCATGTAAGCATCACATTTTTAAATGCCTGAAGATGCGTATTACAGTTAGACAATGAAGCTGGTTAAAAGTGAGTGCTTGCAGAAGCAGTTTTCGTGCCCATGGAGCCTTAAATTGTCCATCCATGTTGCAGTGTACCTAGTTTTAATACCTTTGTGTGAAAACAAAGTATGTCACATTTGTTAGTGTTGCCATCATTTAATCTTTTAATTGCCTGGACTCCAAAAAATACTTCTACATGGTGCAAGTCTGCGAGGAATAATCTTGTAACTGTCGTACAGCATTTTAAAGGCACGGTAAGCTATGCTTTAGTCAAGGGGCAGTTACAATGATGCCTGTTTAAAACTGTAATATCAGTCTTATTTGTATGCTTTCAATACAGGTTTGGCTTATTACATAACTTAAGTTGTCAGAAGTTTCAAGTTAATCATGCATGCTCTTTACTGAAAATATCTAATACTTTTATATTCTTTCAACTGTAAATTGTTTTTTTTTTTTTTAATAGTCACTTGAGCATCTCCTAAAAAATGATTGTTAATCCTGTGTAAGTTAGTTTCAGCATAGCTGAGACATTGAACTCTAGTTGATAGGAAGAAGATGGTAGGGAGAGAAGTAATGCTGCTAAGTTCAGCTGGTTTTACTGAAATAGGCTGAGCCTTGTTGCTGATGTTTCTGTAGCAGGTTGGCTGGAGTGCCATGGTTAGGTAGCTAAAACAAGTGCCAGTTTAAAAATCCTGCAGAAATACAGAGAATCATTTTCTGCAGATGTGTTCAGCGAAGTCTATTAAAACACTGTCATGTGAATGAGAAGCTTACTTCTTTCTACTGGCTTTGATACAGGTAATAATTTTTCCAAGTGAACTGCTATGAATTAGTCTGAGGTATATGAACTTTTGTGAGCTTAGCACTAATGAAGATAAGCCTGCACGGATTTTTAGGAATTGTCTAAAATGAAAATTTTTTTTTAATGTGTATTATGCAGGAAGAGCATAGCTTAGTCTCTTTCTAAACAAAAAGCAAGAAATTCCAAGCAGTATTAATACTTGAGTGAAGTTCTAGTATAGCACAGTTAGCCTTATAAGGAAAACCTTGTCTGTTAACCATAGAAAACTTTTCTCTGTATGCTCTTAGTATCTGAAAGCATGCTGGGAAATTAAGCAGCTGTTTTTCACTAATTTGTCACTGGATGATACTGAAAAACCAACTCAGTTCTTTAGAATTGACTTTCCTGTGTTGACTTTAAAATATCAAAGCAACTAGTGAGATGACTGTCAGGAGCAGACATTTTGAGTAATAGCTAGTTCATAGGCACTAAATGAACACAGGACTAGAAAGGGACATCCCCTGCTGTGGCAGCACAGAGTTGTCTCTCTCCTGCATAGCTGACATACTATCATGAGAAAATGAAGGCAACACTGCATGTTCTGCTTTTCACTAATTCTCAAAATACATCATTTGTATTTGTGTAGTTCATAAGTGGTCTTGTTTATGAA